AATAACATGAATTTGATCAGGATTCATGCCATTCAACAATTCAAACCTCAATTGAACATAATCAACTCATAGAATCTGTACTTGGGTTCATACAATCAGACCTAACATACAAATCTAGGGTTCTTCATACCCAGGTGCATAAGAAAGTTACTCCCTAGAGAGAGATGGGAAATCTAGCTCAGATGTGGAAACCATACTGTGAAGGATGATAATATGCTTCTGGCACTCAATCGGATCTTCTCCAAGATCAAGCCGGGCTCCAATGGTGAGGGAGATCGATATAGGACACTTGCAGAATCAGGTTTGTCACTTTCTCTCTCTAGGTCGCACTTTTTTCTCTAAAACTCGGAACCCCTCTCCTTTGGTTGGAAATTGGGTTAAAACCAGAAATTCCCGATCACACGGCTAGGCCACACGGCCGTGTGACTTCCCCAGCTGACCGTGTGAGTTTCCAAACGCGACGTTTCGATTAGTGGGCTTCCAGGCATGCTGCACGTTTCGATTAATGGGTGTCCAAGCTGCCCGTGTGGGATTTGCCGAGCCTTCACACGGCCACAACGGGTCCCCTACACGGCCAGTGTGGCTTGACCAGTGCAATTTGGTAACACACGGCCAGGTCACACGGCCGTGTGAGGTGCAAAAGTACCCGTGTGGATTCCTCAGATTCTCGCCAAACGTCCAATCTTCGTCCAATCGACCCCGAACTCGTTCCCAGGCCTTCATTCACGTGCTAGGACCTGAAATATCATAAACAAGAACAATCTAGCGTGAAATCAGCCTAAAATGCGGGAATCGACATCTCAAATGGCTCTAGAATAGGGGTAAAAACATGTGCAATCAATGGTCTATCAGCCCTCTGTTTGTCATTAGGTGGCCTGACTGGAGGCTGGGGCGACGGAACTGGTGAGCAGAGTATTAAGAATCCTCCATTGGGTCTTCAGCTTGATGGCCTTGGTCTTGCCCCCATCGAACTAGCTCTGTTCGTACTCTGGGCGGCAGATGGCTTTGAATGCTCTCTAATAGTCGAAGTCGATCGGGTACTGCCGCTCCGTCATCGTCATGTGAGCGGTTTCCAGCCCCATGACCTGAGTGAAGCCATCATAGGTCAGCACTCGCGGCTGAACCCTAGCATGAACTCCACCCGGGGCTGGCTCTTCTTGCTAGCCGGGATGATGTGGGAGAAGGTGGAGTAGAACTCCACACACAGCTCATGAAAGATCTCCTCGTCCATAGTCAGGAGCTGGCGCCACTAGGGATGGGAGAGTACCCCAGTCATGGCGGCTCGGCACCTGAACAAGTTAAACATGTCCAGGTCCAGCCGCCAGTGAGGCCCGATCGGGCTGTCACTCTGGTAGGCGAACTTGTCGCCAAACTCCGGGTGGTTCACTAGGTAACTGATGAACTCATGCTCCAAGTTAAGCATCCTGCACAGAACAAACACACACCATACGTGGAAACATCCGTCATATGCCGCTCATTGGGAGGAAAAGAGATTTCCCCCTACACTTGTTTTTCCACCATGGCTAAAATATTTAAGCTCAAACCACCGTGGCATGGTTGAGGGTATTTCACGTTTCAAGCACACAAAAATTGGAACCACACCCCCTACCACGGTGGCTACCATCCGCCAATCAAAAACAAACTCCACTTGCATTCATAACATAGCACTTGGTGGGCAAATTCTATAAAAAAAATCACAATTCAGTTCAAACACGCCCACCAAGGCTCACGAAGCTCGTGCAATAATCAATCATCAATCACACGACCTAATTCACCTAAGTCCTCGCCCTAACTAGATTCAATCATGCCAAGCACAAAAAATTCAACCTCACTTCACTACCTTATCCGATTCTCCACAATTCACAAAGGTAAAGGTGAAAAACAAACCTGGAGACTCAAGTAGGACAAGGGAGGAAGTGAGGTGTGGGCGAGGACGGTGAAAAACTGGTAGGAAAGCTGACTGGAGAGGGGTCGCCGTAGCTTCGTCGGAAGCTCGCCGGAGACTCGCCGCCGGTGACTTGGCCAGAAAAAATGTTGTCCAAATCTCCCCAAATTCATAGCACACGCCGGTTTTAGGGAGAGGAGACTGGGTATGATGTTGGTTTTGTGGTTTTTCTCGCCGGATTTGGGGGGAAAATCGGAAAAGCGACGGAATTTCACGTTTTTCGGCGAAGATTCAAAATTTTCCGCCGAGTTTTTGGTCGTGAAGTGAAGGGTCGCCGTTCACTCCCCTTTTATAGGCAGAGCTTTGAGTTCACGGACGCGTTGCCCAGTTCACGGTCTTAGCCACCGTGAACTGGCGAATGCGTCCGTGAACACGGAGTGGTTGACAGGTGGTGAATAAGCATTAGCGCCTAGTTCGCGATCTTAGCGACCGTGAACTCAGAAATATTTCCGTGAACTGAAGTGAAATCAGGGCACTTCTGCAAAATTTTTGACTCAACCTATTCAATGCAGTCAAAATCGGGATTTTGATCGTAAAATCGTAGGATTTTACTTAGGGATTCCGATCATGATTTTACTATAAAATCGGTGGACCTTAAAATCGTTCAAAATCGGGATTAAAATCGTTAAAATCGTAAAATCGTACCAAAATCGGGATTTTGATCCTATGTGAACAAAATAGGGAGCTTGAGCCAATTCAAAAGAAGCAGAACTGTTTCGGTGGAAAGGGCAATGACGGGAATCTTTTCATATATTTTTCCTATTAAAAGAACATTTGAAAAGAAGAAAAAAAACTAATTAGGGTTCGGTCAATCCCTTTCCCTTCTCCTTGTTTAACTCATCGGTAAAACAATTATCAGAATATTGTAAGTGTGTAAGAATTAACATCATTATTAATAAATTATTTGATTAATGAATATATTTGTACCAAACCAATGACATTAATTATTTTATTGGATTTAAGTTGTTCTTAGTTTTAAATCATGCTTAGTAGACGATGTCGGGATACTACTTTGAGTTAAACTACATAGACACAACATGAAAAACATGAGCCAAACCCCATGAGCTCTATCCCTTCCTCATAAATTATTTTGAGTTACGCATTAAATAACAATTAAAATGATGATTTTGGAACATTAATCTTGAAAATTATCACTTTAAAGGTTATAAGTCTTTGTGTTATTAATTATTTACCTTATTAATATTATTATATGTTAATTTCTATATGGTACTTAAAATCCTACGATTCTACGATTCGATTTTACGATTCAGATTTTACCCCAATTTTCGATTTTAGGTAAAATCCCGATTTTAACTGCTTTGAACCTATTCCTCCGTGCCTCCTAGATAACAACACAACCATAAACTGCAAAGCACAACACTCAGCACAGGGACACCACTTCACCACCGAACCCTTCACAAGACACTAAAATGAAAAATTAAGGAAAAGAAAACAAACCTCCGTTGGGTTGCCTCCCAACAAGCGCTTGTTTATCGTCATTAGCTTGACGTTGGGGATCAATCACGACTTAAAAAGTGATGCCACCGAGATCGGATCCACCAAACTCTCGGGGCGAGGCTTGTAGCCTCCCATCTTAGGTTCATTGAGTTGGCCCTCTTGGTTGGCCAACCGTGCTCCGGGCTCCCCAGGCTTTCGGGTCAAAGCTCCCTTCATCCTTCCTCTCCAAGCATTCAATCTTGGTCCTTTTGGCTTAGGAACCTTCTTAACTTCCTGCTCAACATCATAAAAGACAATACAAGTAATGGTGGGGTTTGCCTTAGGAGGCTCTCCTCCACTCTCATTCACATCATTTGAGACTACCCCCTTCACTTCATCACTCCTCACCCTAGGATCGATTTCAAGCTTGATTCTCTCCTTACCATCCTTCAAAATTAGGGTTCCCTCATTAATATCTATCAATGCCTTGGCGGTTGCAAGAAAGGGACAACCGAGGATGAGGGGCATATCCGAGTCCTCACTTATGTCGAGAATCACGAAATCGGTCGGATAGCAAAACTTGCCCACTCTCACCATCATGTCCTCCACTATACCTCTCGAGCTAATGACCGAATGGTCGGCTAAGGTGATGCTAAGCTTAGAGGTCTTAAGTTCACCTACTTCTAACTTTTTGAAAAGCTTGTAGGGCATCACATTCACACTAGCTCCTAAGTCCGCCAAGGGATTGTCTATATGGTGATCACCAATATCAAGAGGGATAGTAAAGCTACCTGGGTCAGAGCGCTTTTTGGGCAAGAGGTCGAGGAGGAAAGCCGACCGAACCCAGAAACCACCGCTTTTTTTCCTATAAAAGGAGGCACAATTCTCAAGGAGAAGGACAGCTTTGGGAGAAAGGGAAAACACTGGGGAAAGACTTGCACTTCTCGTCAGTTTAGAGTTCTCTCTCTTTTTAGTCGGTTCTGGGAAAATAGAGAGAGAGAAACACTATTCTTCCATTTTCATTTTCCTTGTAATAGAAGCAGAAGTTTCCAAGCCAGCGACAACACAAGAAAGCTTGTAAAGGTTAATCATCAATCCACTTTTACCAACATGGCTTCCTCTGTGGCTCTTTTCTTCATAGTTACTACTCTATTCTACTTGTCAAGTTAACTATAGTGATTCCATCACCACTGTTATTGTCATTATTCTTATTATTATCACATAATAAACTAAATTCTACAAATGTTTTTAAGAAGAAAAATGAATCTCCAATCAAACTACATGACCCAATTGATTTTAAAAGAGTGATTGAAAATGACCGATCCCAGATTTACTGTTCCAGCTCCTCCATTCAGCTTTACTTTACTCTTCCATTCCGTTACTTATTTCAAGCACATTTTATTTATTAACTATGAGTTAAACTAACCTATAGTTATGTTAAGCTTATTCCAATTTACTTATTGCTGCCATTTACTTGTTGTATTTCTATTTACCATTTCCATAATGTTATATACTTTCTTGCTTAATTTATGTCATTTCCATGACTGCACATAGACAAAAATAGATCATGCGTATGGAATAAAAACTAAATTTCACATAATCATCACAAACCCATCTGCAAAACTTCCGACACAGAATAACCCAAAAATCAGATCCATAAGTTCATATTCAGAATCACAAACACAACCATTTTCCCCTCAAACTCAGATTTGTGGATCATTCTCAAATCTGCAATAAAACCGTTTTTTTTTAGTTTAAACCTCCTAGCCATAGTGAGCCAAGTTTAGGAAAACCTACCTCGATATGTTCCCTTCCAAAATCCTGCATAAAATAAAACAAGTAGATCAGAAACCCAAAACTAAGAGATCATCAAATAGAAAAAATAAAAATTCCTCACCAAATCTGTGAGTCGCCGTCGTCGGAGCACCCTCTGCTATCCTTTTCGCCGTCTAGTTCTCCCAGATCCAACCCTCAAACAACCAAAAAAACCAGAAAGGGTGAGAACCCGAACTCCCCAAAATCGGAATAAAAAAAATCAAGAAAACAAACATGCATGTCCAAAGGGCTTACCCGATTTTTGATTTCTTCATTATCGTCGCCATTTAAACGAGAAAACGAACGGATTGAGAGGAGAGGTGCAGGGTGGCCATGGATTTGGAGTTGGGTTCCTTTTTCCTCTAACGATTAGAGCGGGTTCCGGATACGAGCGAGGTAGAGAAGGAGATGATCGGTTTTTATTTAGGGGAAGGGGCAAAGGATCGATTTTTGCTAGTTCCCAGAGGAGAGAAAGAAAAAATCTTAGGCATTTCGATTTTTGGTTTTCTGTTTGACAGAGAGGGAAGGAAAAAACAGAGAGAAAATCGAGAGGAGAGAGAAGGAAAATGGACGACAGGGCCAGCAGCCAGGGTTCCCATCTTTTCTTTCTACTCGTTTTTCTAAAATGAACCTTTTGCCCTCTATAATTCGTTTAAATTAAACCCTACTGCCACCTCCCTCTTCTGTAAACGAAATCACTGAAAAATATCATCAGTAGCGTGCGTCGAACCGCACTTTGCGCTCTTGTAATCAGCATGTTTAGCCACTACGCCAAGTATCTGTGATTAGTATTAATAACGCACTTTGGTCTTATTTATAATGTGGACATCATGATCAATAGATCCTTCTATGAATTTTATAGCGAAACCATTTAAATATCAACACCTAATTACCAAGATACATTTCCTAAAAATTTAAATTAGCGTCTTAATCAAGATTAATAGAACTTGTTGGGATCACTTCGTAAATCATTCAAAATATTGAGCTAACTAAAAACATTTTCTTTCCTTCATCATGCACGTCAATAAATGTATGATCAAATTTTATCATATAATTAAAATATATGTAATCTAAAGCCAAATAATAATACACCCAACATTAAAACTTATCGGTTTAAGTAGTACCAATTCTGGGCGTTGCGGGGTGTGAATACACTTCCCCACACGTAACCGTACTCCCGAACCCACAATCTCAAAATTTCGCAGACCAAATCCTGGTTTTGACCCTATGGTCGAGACCGATCCAATTAGTGCTCGACCCACTACTTTTAAGGTCGATGGCGACTCCGAGCGATTCGCGACGGATTCCCCCGATCTCGAGGGGCGGTTGCGACAACCACATCCATGAATTGCTCAATCTTCTCGAACTTTTGGCTACTCGTACTCACAAAGGTGTTCACTGGGTCCTCAAGCTTGGATAACTTGTCGGGTTGATGTTGTTGTTGAAAACCTAGGGCACCTTGTGCTTGGTACGGTTGTTGAAAGTTTGAGCCTTGGAGTTGGGGCCTTTGTTTGATGAAGGTTGGCCGAGGTTGGAAGTTCCCTGCGAGGCCTTGGAAACCCGGGGGCCTTGGATTAGCCGGTGATGCCCAAGCAAAGTTGGGGTGTTTCCTCCATCCGGGGTTATAGGTATTGCTATACAGTTTGTTGACCCTAGCATTTGCCACAAAGTTGACTTGCTCCTCCCGAGTGGTTGCCTCCTTCATTTCTTGGCACTCCGCTGTCTCGTGGCTAGTACTTGAGCACCAGCCGCACGACATTACCGCCCGTTTTCCTTGCCTTTTATCTTCAAGCAACTTATCCAACTTTGCCTCAAGCGGAGCACTCGCTCCCACGCTTCTCACTCCCCTTTCATTGCTTCTTCTTCCACTTCGAGTCAACCCCCAATCATACCCCCTAAGGGTCATGTCTTCTAGGATCTCGGTGATTTGAGGCGGAGCCATGTTCATCAACTTCCCCTGACATAAGGAGTCGATGAGGATCTTATCTTCTTGCATTAGGCCTCCGTAGAAGGTTTCAATCCAAAACTGTTCCTCAAACAATAATGGGGGCACTGAAGAAAGTAATCGGAGTACCTTTCCCAAGCATCCCTCAAGGTTTCGTCCTCTTCTAGCTCGAAATGTGTAATCTTCTTTCTCCACTCCGCCGTCTTCGAAGGCGGGAAATAACGATTCATAAACTTGTTGAGGAGGTCGTCCCATGAGGTGATGGACCGAGGTGGGCGGTTGTTTAGCCATCTAAGCGCCTGCCCCGAGAGTGATTATGGGAAAAGCCTTAGTTGCAAAGCCTCGGCCGGCATACCATTAATCTTCAAGCTCCCCGCGAGCTCCAAGAATCTCTGCACATGCTCCCTTGGTGAATCGCTCTCAAGGCCGTGGAAGAGAGCATTGCTTTGTATCATAGTCACCAGAGCCAGCTTGATCTTGAAATTGTTTACCGCCACCGAAGGATGTAGGATTGGCTCTTGAATGTCCGTGGGCCTTGGGGCCATATAGTACCCCATCGTCCTCGGGGCTCCATCTTCGCCCGCCCCCTCATTCAATTGGCGGGCTTGAGCGGCTCCTTCTTGCCTTTGGTTCCCCACCATTTCCTCTTCAATGACAGATTCAACTTCCACTTCTTCAACTGCTTCTCCACTAACACCGGGATCCAATTGTTGTCCCCCTCTTTCACTCCTTCTCCTTGCCTCGGCTAGCTCTCTCTCTCTTGCTAGGAGTCGGAGAGTTCGGTTCATGTCCTCGTCAAGTGGTAGCAAGGGCGCAGGGTTGCTCCGGGTCATGCACCTCCTACACACAATCGGAAAACACCAAGTCTAGCACAAACAAAGAACACACACACTTGCAAAACTTGAAATTAAAATCTAGCTTAATAACCAACAAATTTTTCAGAATAACAGAGCGTTGTCCCCGGAAACGACGCCAAAAACTTGACTCGCTCGAAATTACACTACAATTAAACCCTAATTAGAGCCCAAGTTTTTAAACTCTAATCGGGTGTAGTATAGGGCAAGTATCTATATGTCGACCCGGGCTGGTCCGTCTACCCCTATTTCGGTTGTTGAAATCATTATCTAGCGGTAAAACTTTGGTTTAAAGGTTGGCCAATTGAAATGAAAGAAAACAAAAGTAATTTGTTTTGAAAAATCTTTTGTGGAAAAGCCACTAGGGTTTCGCTTCCCCCTAAGCCGCTACCATGCAACGTGGCTTGGAACGATTTCCTTGGGCACGCTAACGTGAACCGCAGAGGAAAGCGTATGTGGTCGGGGACCACAGTCTCGATTGCTAAACCGAGGTGGAAAGGTCGTGTCACTCGACCCTCTCGATTTAGACAATCGGTAATCGGCTTACTTCCTCACTCAACTCTAAGGTCGGACGGTTTAACCACGATTAATCAACTTTTTCAATTCAATATCGAGGATTTCCCTAGCTCAACCTAGTTTAGGTGGCTTGGAAAGCGGAAGGAAAACCAACTCGATTGAGTCTCCCTTAGAAAGGGGGATTTTCCTCTCTAAACTAGGCTAAGTTGGCAAATTAGATTACTAGCACCTAAATTCACAAACTTAGGGGGTGCTAAGCACAATTATGCACAACCCTAGGATGCTAAGGACAAAATATGCACAACCCCTAAGTTGCTAAGCACAAGCATGCAAAATCATGGTGAAAAAACCTCAAACATTAAATTGAACAATGCCCAATATCAATCATTCAAACCACATACAAGAAAACTACATAGTAGGGTTTAGGGTTTCACTACACCCAAGTGGGAGAAGGACTACTCCATGGAAGAAGTGGGAAGAACAAAGGAGAAAA